GTGTTACACACAAATTTTTTATATTAAAAATGAATGAATTGGAAGAATTGAAAATTTTGAAATCTGTATTGCAGATCTTTTATCACGTGATACTTATAAAGAGAATGCAACGTGCCAAATCTATTTTTAAAACACGTGATTGTAAAAATTTTATTGCATTTTTGATTGGGAATTTTTTCCCAAATCTGTTGCTGTGGCGCAGAAAGTTGTAGGGACTAGGTGTCCTGCACCATACCTCTGGTTAATTATTAACACATATTCTTTAGGAGACCCAAACCAAACCAAACAACAACACTCACATTTTGTCACCTTGGACTATAAATTGTTTTTTGTTTTTCCAAAAAAAAAAACAATTTGCGTCTGTCCTACCAAAAAAAAAACCAATAGGATAAATAATTAATGTGATGCATTGATCAAATAACAAATTTCTTTTTTTTTATTTTTAAAAAAATATAACAATGTCATCAAAAAAAGATAATAAAAGAAGAAGAGAAGCAGAAACCAAAGACACATATGAGTAAGTGTTTTAAGGATGGTGGTGGTGGTTATCGCCTGCCACTCGTCATTACTCTAGTTTCCAGATTAAAAATTTTGACCTTTTTATGTTTATTCCTTAGTATTAATGTTAGAACATTATATGACAAAATAAACGACATACTAAAAACATTAATGAATAAAGCCAAAAAACAGGACTTGTTGTGAGAATTTTAATGAAAATACATTCACACTACTTCATATTTTATTTATATCTTTATGAATCTCATGCACTCTTACTTTATAGGCTTCCAGCTGCAAGTGGGATATTCAATGTTGAAGACAAGGAAATAAAATCATTATTAAAGAGCAAAGAATACAAAATTTTTTCAAATATAAATCTACTGTTTCATGAAGTGCCAGAAAATTCAGCAAACTACTTACTTTTGTTAGCTAAAAAAATTTCATCAACACAAGAACTACATCATTATTTGGTGACAATGCCTTGAGGGGATGAAGTTTATAATTATACATGAAGTCGAAACTATTTTGACCATTTGCAGATCTGGTCAAAATAGGGTCGAAATAAGATCAAAACTGATTTTTACTATGCAGTTGCCTCAAGTCAAAACATTTTGACTTTGGGGTTTTAATTTCGACTTCATGTATATTTATAATATATAAATGCATTATAATCTAAGAGTAATATGAAATACCATGGAACAATTGTAAGTAATTTCACTGTTCTATGAACATATTCTTTGTGATGTCAAAAAAAAAACTGACATAGTTGTAGCCTGAGTTATTTTGAATTAGGAAGGTTTCCATTAGTAAAAGTTATCCCGGAACCATGGACTACAAATAATTTATTGGGTTGTGTCTTTTAAGAAATGTTCATAGATATTATCGAAATGTTAAAGTAAGTCTACCTGAGTAATATTGTCTTTTCTTTTATCCATATCTCATCCCAATTTCAAACATTCAAGGTGTGAAATGATGAGCAAAGCATCATTGATAAGAAAGAATCAAGAATGATTAGAAAAACTTGATTCAAAAACCAGAAAAAAGAAAGGACATAATCTTGACATAATAGGTCGAAGTTATGAACCAGAAAAATATGAATTGATTAAAGTTGAGATTAAAAAGGATGATGAATTGACCGGTCAAACCAACTGTATAAATGATTGAAAAAAGCTTTTTAGGGAAATGAAAGACTCACTTGATCAAATTTTATTATTATTTGAAGACATAAATTTATGGTGTGGGGCAGGGTTGGCAAATTGACTGGTCCATTGAGAACAGATGGATTTTGGACTGGTCCATTGCCATTAATAGAATACTAAATATGGTTAAAGTGTTACACTAATGGACCCAGTGGACCACCAATAGACCATCAATGGACAGCACATTTGCCAACCCTGGTGTGGGGTATTTCAAATTGTGGTAAGTTTGAAAATCATTATTTGATCCTGGCTATTTGTTCTTTTCTCATTCATTTTTTTTGTTTAAAGAATTATCAGGGATCATATATGGGATGGATAATCCCTTTGGACTCGATTATTATAGACTATTTACATTTGGAAAATACAATTTACCATCATCATTTTCCAATACTGGTGATTTATTAATGAGTATAAAATTACTATTACAGCTAAAGGTAATTATATTTTTTTTTGTTTTAATTGCTGGTCCATATATATGCATTGGAATATGAGTGGAACTATCATTTCTAATGCTATATAAAATGTCAAAAACAAATTCGAAGAATAATTTCATGTAAAAAAATTAAAGGGCTGTTCTTAGGTTTCACTATGTGAAAACTTGGATTTGGCAAAAGTCCTAGCAAAATAAATATTCCGATTCATATATGTATGGATCAGCAAATAAAGGATTTAATGTTTTTTTTTTATCACATTACTAATTTGTTTGATTTTTTTATGACTTCACAGATGGTTATAAAAAAACAGTTGGATTTAATTAGATCAATGAAAACGTCGAATTTATTAAAAGATATCACAAACAAAAAAATATCCAAAGGTGACAAATTCAAAGTTAAAATCCAAACTGAAACTTCACCAGAACCAATGAAAATAAAAAAGATGTCTCATTAAAGAATCATAAGGTTTTTTGTTGAAAAGATAAAATTGGGATTTCTGTTTAATTTGCTTTCCAAAAATAATTGGCTGATTTTTTGGCAATGAGGTGATTTTTCTTAACATTGAAAAGATAAAATCGGAACTCCTACCTTTTTTTTCCCCTTCAATTCATCTCCCAAAAATATTCCTTTAATTCATTTTTTGGTTTTTTAGTGGCTGCAAAAATTAATCTTTTAGTTAACACTAAGATAAAATAGATTCTTTTTTTTTTAATTCTTAATCAGTAGTAGATGCGAGAAAATTATAATCTTTGCTATATAAATATAAGCTTGTGATTGGTTCACACACAACCTTAAAAATAAATAAAAATACAACAGTGAAGAAACATATTCATATATATCAAACCCTAATTTTTGAAATACATAGTTATTTATTATCCTTTTTAGCCCCAATCACTCACTCATTTGTGATATTATTGTTAATGAAAATATTCATATTCAGGCCATATATATATACCTGATGAATGATGCCTAGCCAAAACTGAATTTTGAAGAAAAGAAACATATACTTGGATGTTCTACTAATGAATTAGGAAGATAGTGAAAATGAAAGACTGCCAAGTAACTTCAAGAGAATGCTACTCAGAAATATTTAAGGATATATGTAATTTTAAAAATATTTAAAAACATATTTAATATACAGTCAACCCCCTTTATAGTTACACCCCTCGGGAATGACTAATGCTGTGACTATAAATGAATGTGCTTATAGAGAGGTATAAATATATAGTCACACATCTTATTAAATACCATCACAGTGTGCTTATATACTATTTTTCAAATAATTTATTTAATAAAAATTTTTAACAATATATAGAAAATATAAATAAATAAACAAATAAAAAATAAACAATGAAATAAATTAATTTCAAAAGATTGTTCAAAACAGTATCTATAGAAGTGTCTAAAGTAACTCTTTCATTATCATCTTCATTTGTGTTATCTTCTGTATAATTCTTCTTCATCCAAGACCAATTCTTTTAAAGAACTTGTACTGTTTTGAAATATTTTGATCCCTGAAATATTTGTTAATACAAATGTTCACTTTGTCTGGTTTTGTTGCAGCATGCCCCATATATTAATCATTATTATTATTGCCGATTTCTCCCATTTATGGATTGATTGTAGATGATTACGTGACCTGACAGCTTACTGAAAATCACGTGATCGAATAATTTTATTGCATGTTTGATTGGGAAATTTTTCTTCAAATCTGTCACCAAGGCGCAGTAAGTTGCAGGATTAGGTGCCTTGCACTAAATAAAAAAATTATGCATATCTAATATTAATATGCAATAAATCAATAATAATATTATTATTTGTCAATCACATCCAAATACAATACAATCTCTTAAATAGGAATAAGTGGGGAAATTCTTGCTCCTAGTAAAAAAAAAATGAATGAAGGTATTTTTTTCTTACACAGAAAATAACTTTTAAAAATATGTAGTATTTTTGCATCATAATTTAATATTTTGCTTTATAATAAAATAATACTTAGCTA